CTATTTTTCTTATTATTGAGTTATATATTTTTTAAGTTATCAAATGTTGGGCTTTCGCTCAATACTCCTATGCGACTAGACTACCATGCGTCTCCATTGATACATAGCTACAGTCACATATATCTATTTCAAGTCGCATATGAATGTAGCAGGTTTGCATATCACATTGTTCGATCGAGCAGACTTCAAATGGGAGAAGGGCTTCCTTTGTTCATGCGGTATCCAAACTATGGTAGACTTATAAAAAGTGTCTACCGACCGCAGTAAAGAGAGTTTGACTGCTGATCGATAATTGGCATGTGTATTTAGAATTATTTGGTTTATATAGCATTTACATGTTCTTGCTTATTCTAGTGAACCTATGTGTAAGAAAGAGACGACTGGAGCGTCGGTACCCAATATATAGATCTTCGCAAGGTCTGCACTTTTGGTGAATTGGTGGTCCTACCCTACCCTTGGTTGTTTGTAGGGATGCAAATGGCACCTTCCCTTTTTGGAAGAATGGTGTAATTAAATGAAAATGAAATGTCACCATTCTAAATTTTGTGTAACTACTCCAGATGTCTCCGTTTTTGAGGATCGCAGTAGGCCGCGCTTGAAAGCTGAAGTGTTTTTCTTTTGCTGCGTATTTTTCGTCAGCGAATTAAACTTTTTTTGACTTGAATTTGTTAATGTGTGTGCTAAAATTTAGTTTCAAGTGTTCATAAAGTTATCATTTAGTGATAAATCGTGTTTTTTTCCTGTGTTGAAGCATCCAGTTTTGAAGCCAAATTTGTTTAAAAAATAAGAGAAGAATATAGAAAGTGAAAAGTAGAAACATGCAGTGACAAAAGAAAGAAGCAAGAAAAAAAGGTCCGTCTTGAGCAACCCAGTGGCAGGCGCGTAGGCAACATGTTATACTGTGACAGCGGGCCCAAAACAGCAAAATAAACGATTTGAGCCAGGGAGCCTGAGCCTGAGCTAGCGTAAAACGAATCTAATTTTCTACGGTTTTCCTTTTTTAACCATACTTTGTCGCCAATTTGAATTTCAATTAAATTTGTATTTTTTGATTGGTTTAATATTATTTTTTCTTTTGCTTTGTCTAATAACATTTTTGCTTTGTGATTTGCAATTTGTAATATATATTTTAATTCTTTACAGAATGCCTTGTAGTTGTAGATTGGGTCAAGTTTCTTCTTTTAGTTGTGTTGGATAGTTTGCTTGTGTACCAAAAATAAGTTCAAAAGGTGTGAAAGTATGTTCTGTATGTGGCCTTGAATTGTAAGATAAAGTGAAAAATGGTAACCATGAGTCCCAGTTATCATGTTGCTCATTGATGAATTGCCTAAAGTATTCATTCAAACAACGATGACTTCGTTCAAGAGCTCCTATGGTTTCTGGATGATAAGCTGTTGAAAATTTCTGATTTATTGAGAGAATGGTACATATTTGATGGAACACTTCATTTTTATACTCAGTGCCCATGTCTGATTCGATTGTTGTAGGACAACCATATATGAAAATAAAATTCTCAACAAACGCTTTGGCTAAAGTATTAGCTAGCTTATTTACTATTGGTATTGCTATAATATACTTCGGCCAATCACATTGTACTGTCAATGCGAAACGATTTCCTTTCGTTGATCTCGTTATTGGACCAACTGTATCCATTGAAACAAGTTCAAATGGTTTTGCTGGTGTTGTTGTTTTTCGAATATTTCTTTTGTCTTGATTCTGTGTTTACTTTGCCTACATGAAATACAGTTTTTAATATACTGTCTTTCATATTAGACCAACAATAATTTCTTCTTAATTTTGTAATAGTTTGTTAATACCTACGTGTCCTCCCGAAGGGGTATCGTGGTTTTCATTGATCAAATTATTTATTACATCTGAATCTTTTATCACCTTTGCTGGTGTGTATATAATTATTATGACGTCATTTAAAATTTCATTGCTTGCTTCTTTTAGTTGTTCCCGGGAAAAATTATTAAATATTGGATCCATTTCACTGCTCGCAATTTTATTTATATTCGTTGTTTTGGCCATATCGTTTATTAATTTCATGCATTCATTTAGATAAATTGTTCCTTTTTGTTGGAATACTGGCGCTTGAACAATAATTCCCTCAGGGTTTAATTTTTTAATGTAATATTCATATACTTGTCTAAGGTCTCAAGACTTGTCTAAGGTCTAGAGGTTTGTGGTCGGTCTTTACAGTAAATTTTCGTCCAAAGGGATGCACATGACAGGAGTATTGAGCAAAAACCCAAAAAGTGAGTCACTTAAAAAAATAATCGAAAAAAATAGATTTTTCATGGAAATGGTTACCGTCATTATTAAAAAAAATCAGCTCTAATATTTAGCAATGAGAACCACTATATTGTTTTGCTATGAAATGGCTAATAACTATAATAGGTATGCCTAATTTTACTAAGATGTCTATCTTCAATCCGAATCGTTCTCTCTTTCCGGGCGGACCTATTTACTTTTTGCTGAACGAAGTGTTACTGCTACCTAAAGCAACAACAAATTTAAATAGCACTTTTCAGAGCTACCTTGTTTGACTCTTATTCCTATTCGATTCTTGTTTGGACCATACCCGAGGTAATTCTACTTGGCCATCGGCTTGGAAAATTTCCTCTTAGATCCTTCGGATTCTTACAGTAATCTGATTAGAAGTCGATTTAGAGAAACTTGGTTCTGCCGCCATGGCGCCCAAGCGCAAAAAAAAGGGCAATCGCTTGATCCCCCTTCTGATGAAATTCAATTGAGCAATCAATTTTATATACTTACGGATGATGAGAATGATCCATTATCCAGGCAAAATTCCATTAAACATTTCCGGCTTAGTACCAAAAAGGAAAAGGTTCCCCCTGTTGTTGTAACCCTTTCGATTTCCATGCTCTTCACACGGAAGTTTTGAATTTCGTTCAATTTAAGTTTTCAATTGGCTGTTATGGTGAATTTCATATATTGTATGAAACCTTGGACGGATTCAAACGTCTTCTCAAGTACCTTGCTAAGAAGCAACACACATTATTTACCTATAACATCAAAACTGTTCAAGGTTGTCTTTAAAGCTCTGCCCAGTGGTGAATCCCTGGATCAGATCAAAGATGAATTGAATAAATTACTTCGAGTTGAGCCTGTCGAAGTAATCAAAATGAAAATGAAATCCCGTCCTGGTGATTCACGCAACGAATTTTCTAATGATTTTTATTTAGTTCACTTAAGGTCTAGTGAGCTAAACAACCTCAATGCCTTATAAAAAAAACTAGCCTTATGCTCCATGTCCGAGTGAAGTGGGAACACTTCAGGAAGACTGGAGGAAATTTTCAAAGCCTTACCAAGTGTCGTAAGTACCAGGGATGGGGTTACGGGACTAAAAATTGCTACATGTCAGCTTTAATACAAGTCCCATACCACAGAGCAAACTACGGCTACGACAACCCTTTCGATTCGTGTCTTCGCTTGTTCAAAGTTGTCTGTGTCGAAGCAGCAAAGTTGTTCAAATAGACAAAACCTATCCTAAAGTGAAGAGTTCAGCTCAAAATTCACTCACCAAGCGGCACTAGTGTGACGTACATTTGTTACTGTCCTAACTTAACACATGGACTATATAGAAGGGGTACAGTTATTCAGACGGATAATACCTATTCTATGGTACAGGGCTAAGAATTTGTTCTTGCCCAATTTAAATACCTATGCATTGGAGTGGTTCGTATTCATTCTTATCTTTTGACTCCATACTATAATCTTCAAATATATGCGAAAATAAGCCAGGAAACAGAAAAATTCCAACCAAACTGTGTCGCTCACCTTCGCTGAGATATTAAAATTTAAATTTGGGGTCAAGGTACAGACAACGTATTTTTTTTTGGCACAGCCGAAGAGTTGAAGTCGTTTTATAGTTATGGTTTTTTTTTTACAATTTCAGGATCTAGAAGCTTGTAAAATGTATCAAAACACACTAAATTGAGGGCAATCATAAGTTACAAAGTAAGGTTAAGTTGAATTCCCGTGCATCATTTACTCACTCAAGCGACGCAAGCGACCAAATTGCTTCCTATCGCTTCCTATTCCAAGTGGCCACAGTTCACGAGCAGGATAATGAACTTGAAATGCAAACATTTCTCTACCGAAGTGTGACTTTGCTCGTCATCTACTTAACTATCCAGAGACGGGTACGCTGCTTCATTCACAACGGTTGTGCACTTGCGCCAAGAAATTTGCATACCTATCTCCGATCGACTCGTTCCGTTGCGCTTACAGAGTGTCGAGTGTCGATAAGGAATTTGAGCCCGGTTTATCTTAGGCGTTCGCTCCACCGCCGCCACTAGCCAACCGGCCAATCCAAGCAGATAATTGATATGACATAAATTATCAGATTGCCTGCTGAGTTCGGTTTGCTCGGCCGGAGTTGGCAAACCGGGGAGGAAATTCACTTCCTACTACCAGTGTTTGCTCATGTTTGCCAGTTTCAGTTGATGCTCTTAGGTGAGACCAAGAAGAGAAGGGATGCTGCAGCTGCTGTTGGTCGGTCAAACTGCCTGATGTATCCCACACCATGCGTCTGTTTAACTGCATTCAGCGGCATGCGTGGGTGAGGGTATTGGAGGTTTTCTGTTCTGAAGGAAAATCAAGAATTCAAGATATTTAGCAAGAAGCTCATATCATTGGGATCCGTTTCGACCTTCATAAGCAATGGAATGCACGTCACCCCATTTCCAGCTACGCAACTGATTCGGAAAATCTACACTAGCTTATGATCTCCTGGCGTCCCTCGTCCCACCTATCAAGTAGAAGTTGGTTTCGGACTTTGCGTACCGCACTCGCAAAACTTCCTACTACACACTAGACCGCATCAGCTTGCCGCAGTGGCTTGGTTTTGGATATTGAGCCCTCCCCCTTTCTTCTTGTTTTTCTTCAATAGAGTTCCCCGGAGTGATAAATTTTGGTTTAGTTTTTCCCTTACGCGATATAAAAGACCTTGCACATGTTACCAGTGCATTCATTTATCAATCACAAAGCACCACAAGTGCAAGTGCATAAAGTTGGGTGTTGTTGTCAGACGGTTACGCGTGGTGTTGTTGTTGTTAGAGTTGCATAAAAAGAGAGTAATAAAAAAAGCTAGTGTAGCGATAGTAAGCAGATCGGTGAAGTGTAGAGCAGATTTTTGCAGTTATTATAGGCATTTCCCGTTCGAGCCGGACGACGAACTTGTTGCGGTTAGTTTGGTGTCAATTAGGCGCGAAGAAAATGAAATCAATTTTGTGCTTAATTGGACTGGCGGCTGTGGTTCTTGACCTGGCCCATGCGGAACCTGAACCAGTGGCTCCGGATGCTCGAAAGGCACGCCATCCGGCCAGTGGACCAACGAGTTACAATTCCATTGTGGGACCTGATAGTGAAACCTTAAGTAAACTGCAGAATCAGGTTGGACCTTCGGTTCAAATTCCATTGAAACCGATTGGTCTTCCAACGAAAACTTCTGAAACTCCTCCAGCCTACAGTGTGACTTCTAACCAACCACCAAACTCGTACCCATCCACCACTGCTACACAAAACATTGGCGGACAGTACTATGTCGCAATGACTCCTCAAGCAACCGGAAACCAAGTATTGTCTCCAGGTAAACCTGCCGAGCGATCAATCCCAATTTCAACCCATCACTCTTAAATCGTTCTCGCTTTCCTTTTTTTCAGCAACCACCCCGCTGATTATGCAATACATCAACCCACAGGGTCAACCCACCGGAGGTCTTCACTACATCCAGCTGCTGCGTCCAGTCATGTACCCATACGGCACCCAGTACGTCCAACCATCCTACGTCCAACAACACCAGCAGCCATCGACCACCCTCGGCCAGCACCAACATCAACAGCTGCACCACCCGCATACCCTGTCCCACTACTCCGGTCCCACGATTCCATCATCCCCAACGCCCTCCTTACTCACTTCGCCAACCACCACCCAATCGAGCTTCGTTCCCTTCCAGCCTTCTTCGCTTCACCAATACGCAGCAGCAGCCACCGCCGCCACCGGCCATCACCACCTGCCCTCGCCAGCAGCCTACACTAGCCCGCTTGGACAGTACTCCAGCCCGGTTCTGTCCTACTTTCAACCGAGAATTTCCCTCATGAATTCCCCCGGCGAAATGAACTTCAACACAAACGAGTACATACCATCGCCCGGCGATCAAGTGTTTATCAAAGGTGTGAAAAGCATTCGGGCCTGAGGTGGGGTCCCGTGCGTGATATATGGTACTGATCTCCCTGTAAGCACTAAATTTGCAAGCGTCTCCGTTTTCCGATGAGATTTCATTGATTATTTATATGCTATATTTAACATGTTAACTAATTGTAATTAATTGTCAAGGCTTCATGTTTTGTCCTTACTAACGAAAAAAAAAAGGGATCCGATTAGATGGGTCTATTGATACATGAACTCCCGGTCAAGAATAAATAATTTTGAATCTGTTCAATGATTTCGTTTTTATTTTAATTTAATGAGAAATTATTGTCGAATTTTTTATTTAATTCTGGTCGCAAGCCAGGGCCTATCGAAATTAAAACCTTAATAGAAATTTAGGTATTTCGCATCCCACACTATTTTACAAATTACATTAGGTCTTTTTTTCTTTATTTCAATTTGTTTCAGTGATCAATTGACTTGAATTTCTTAAGATTTGTTCGATATTGTAAATATTATTGCTGCTTTTAACGAAGAATAATACGTTGAATAATACATATTCAATACGTGCTTTGAATTTTTCCCAGAAGTTCCCAAGTTGCCTTTGGTTCTCTGGAATGATTCATGAAGATCTTCGGACTTGGCCTAGAAATTGTGAACTCCTCAGGACCGACACTGCATTTTCCCTCTTGAAAATCTTTCAATTTGTCTTTTTAGAACTCTTACGTACCGTGCGATTCAGGCTAAGGGCGAGTTGGCCTGTGCTGTACTAAAGAATCACCTCCATTCAACTCTATCCATGGCTATATTTTGGTAGCCACCAGTGTTGGCAAAATCAGAAATCAATTGATATTTTTCCGCTCTCATGCGCTCGCAATATCACGCATGATATTGGAATAAAACATCATGCTTGACATTGATTTTACAAGCTCCTTTGATATTGCGAGACTATTCACAACGTGCAAAAATCAAGCTGAGAGTTGACTCGACACAAAAATGTTTCCATTGCAAATCATTTTCTTAGAAAGAGAACGCATAGTTTGCTATCTTTTTTTAATCTTCACCGATGGCAGACACGAAGGGACTGCTGCCAGCCGTTATGGAAGTTTCGATTGCATTCGGATGTAAAGCAAAAATTATTAAACTCAATCTCACCACAGTTTGGTGAGATTTGCAGTTGGTGAGTTTTGTTAGCTTGATATTCCGAGCTGCGATATCACAGCTTGCAAAATCAACCGCAGTTGTTTGCTTGTTGATTTTTGTCTACGAAAATCAAGCGTGATCTTGGGCGTTGATGAGATTTGATTTTTTGATATTTTCCCAACACTGGTAGCCACACTGTCTGTGCACCTTTGGGTGTTTTTTAGAGTCTTAAACTATGTTAATCATCGATCGAGTTTCCACTTGCTGCAATTACAGCCTCCACACGCTTCCGGAATGCACGGCAGGTTCTAATAATGTAGTCTGGATCTATTTCTCTCCAGGTACGGGTCAATGTTTGTCTGAGGCTTGCTGTACTCGGGTGGCGTTTAGAACAGACCTTGGCCTTCATGACGCGGCATATTGAGTAATCCAGCGGATTAAGATCGGGGCTGGATGGCGGCCACATATCCTTCGCCTAGAACGGAAGATGTTCCTGCAACCACTTCTGAGTGCGATTCGAGGTGTGGCACGGAGCCCCATCTTGTTGAAATATAACATATGGCTTAGGACCGTACTGTTCTTTGATCCACGGAAGAACATATTTACTTAAAATCCCGATGTAGACTTCCGTGTTGACCTTGTCGCCTTCTGAAATGAACACCGGGTAATAACGCTAGTAGGATGCTTGGTCAGATACACGTTCTTGTGCTCGTCGACCACGTCTTTTACCGGAAGAGAACTAATATACCGGTCGGTTCTGGAATTTGATACGGGATCGACGGTAAACATGCTCTCGTCGGTGAACAGGATTACCGGATTTTTTCGCTTAAGGAAGTTCAAGATTTTATTGCATCGTTCGACTCGTAGCTTCCGGATGCGGTTGGTAATTATGTGAGTTTTTTTTTCCGTGCCCCGCAATCTTCCTTTACGATCTTCCGTGCCGTAAAGTCACTGATTCCGTGTTCCTTTGCCATTTTCCTTATTGAACGCACTTGATTCACCCGAATCTTCCTTTTGATAGCAGCGATAACCCTCGGAACCCGGGCTGACCTCGGACGACCTGTGGCCACCTTTGCGGAAATCACGAATACTCTGCCACTTCATCATGGTACAACTGTCAAACTAAGTAAATCATTTTCTTTTATACACAGCCTACTACGGTATGAGCTATAGGTTACGTACATGCAAAGAAAACCATGGCATTGTATGCACAGGTGAAACGGGAACCTTATTTGTACGATGGTGCAAACATTATCACGCATACGGTAAAGAAACCTCTGGGCTTACCCATAAGTTACATAAAAATATGGCTTAAATCGCCACAGTACAGGTCCAAATACCACTCTATATCCCTACTTAAAGGCCTTTTGGCCTTAAAAGGCGCAAATACATGGCTCAAGTGACGTCGTTTAATTAACATGATCTCGAATAGGGCAAGTCTGGCATCGACCAGTTTTCTGGTCGTTAATTTCGCAATCCCAGTGAGTTGAACGCCGAATTGAATCGTTCCAGGCTTGAAAGACAAAAACACCTCTGATGATCTGTAGAAGCACTCTGGACTGACTCGTCATGAAAGTTTTACTCTTACCAGCTTCTGGAACTTATGTGTGCCGTCGATTTAATGAGGACCTAACATAATACCAAAGATGAATACTAAGATGAAACTGTCGGAAGAAAAACTTTCTATTTTAGTGTCCTCTTTCACGGTCCCTTTCATCCAATGAATACCCCCCGTATTCAAGGTAATTTTGTGGTTTTGCTGCTCCCTCGGTAGAGATGAAATTTTTCGCTCATTTTTATCAAAACAATCACACCAAAATCAGAGATGTCCCATTTTTTCAATTACTCGATTAACAACTAATCGATTATTTTTTTTTTCGCTTTGCTGTCATTTTTCCACCAATGAGAGTGCAGCACATGTTTGAAACGATGGGTGATGATCCTCTGGAGATGTTAATGCTTATATCAGCATGATATAACCGATTACAAATATTTTACTTTTCGGTTTGTTAATCGATTAATCGATTATTCGAATGAAAATCGGCCATCACTAGATGAATGTGAAACGTCATTTCAAATATAAGGTACATAAATAATGATACAATTTGAAAGGGACCGGGGCTCATCACAAATTACGTCCACACGGTAACTGAAATAAACACGAGTGTTCACCGGTTGATAATACCTTCAGAGCTCTCGGAGACGAACCAGCCCAGCGCTGAAAGTCTCCTTAATAAAGATATAAAAAAAAATACCTTCAGAAGTGCAGACAATTTCCATCCTAAACCTAACGACCGGAAAATGATCCAATTATCCTAGAAGCCCTCTAGACTTTCTTGAAATGCATGTAAACTTGATTTTAAAGTACTCTGGACTTGTTCTAAAGGCTCGAATGATTGGTTTGTATTATTCTCTTGATTATTCCACGAGAAATTAAGATTTTCCTCTGTACATACCCTTGAATACCAATGCATTGACTACAAGAGACATGCAAGGGACAAATCTGGAAATTTGCAGTGGAATTGATATTTTATTTTTATTTTATTTTATTTTATTTTTATTTAATACATCCATCTGACAATAAGTCTTAATGAACCAGAAGCCATAACAAATACTAAATGTATCTGGAGTTAATAATACGTCTCTGGAATTGAGCAGCAGGTTCCCCAAACTCGAACAACTCTTCAACTGTAGAAAACGTGCGAATCATACTCGTAACAGGTTCATGTTGTCCAAAAGAAGAGCGGTGTGAGTCTTGACGCAATAGGAACGTTGAGCGTAGAAATCTGCTTGGTAGAGTCAATTTCACCACTTAATAACTTCGCGACGAATGTTGCCTGTTGAATTTGTCGCCGTCGTTGTAACGTGTCCATGCTTAGCAAGCGACATCTCTCAGCATACGGAGGTAAGTTTAGTGGATCTCTCCAAGGAAGTTGTCTTAATGCTCGACGAATGAATGTTTTTTGGATACGTTCTATTCTGATGTTCCAGGAAAGTTGGTAGGGAGTCCAAACAACAGATGCAGTCTCGATAATCGGACGAACGAGTGAACAGTACAGTGCTATTAAACAGTACGGATCCGAAAAATCTCTTGAGATTCTTGATATAAAACCAAGCTGACGATTAGCCTTAGTGATTACCATTGAACGGTGTAAGTCAAACGTAAGTTTAGGGTCCAGCATTACACCTAGGTCGCTTACTTGTTCTACTCTTTCTAGTACAAATCCATCAATTGAGTAATCGAATACGATTGGCGTTCTTGTGCGATTAAATGTCATGACCACACATTTTGATATACTGACGGAAAGCTTGTTTAAGCGGCACCAATCAACAAATTGGTCTAACATTGCTTGGAGCTGACGGCAATCCTCGACGTTCTTGACAATAATGTATAGTTTGAGATCATCGGCGTATATGAGCACACAACCACTCGGCAAGAGGAGCGTCACATCGTTGAAGAAGATTGTGAACAGCAATGGTCCTAAATTGCTGCCCTGGGGAACACCGGAGGTTGCAGCAAATGGTGATGAAGTGCACGAACCCAGCTTGACACGAAGTGTTCTGTTGGAAAGATATGATTTCAGCCAATCAACCAAACCATCCGAAATTCCCAGGCGAGACATTTTCCGAAGAAGAATACCATGATCGATGCAATCGAATGCCGCTTTCAGATCGGTATAAACGGTATCTACTTGAGCCCTATTTTCCAAGTGATTTATACATGTTGAGGTGAACTCCAGCAAATTTGATGTAACTGAGCGTCCTGGCATAAATCCGTGTTGCGTTGCTGAAATGTAGCTCTTGACATGAAAGAAGATAGCATCGTTCACAATGATCTCGAATAATTTTGAAGCTGCAGATAGACTTGTTATGCCACGATAATTTGTCTCGTCACGTTTGTCGCCCTTCTTATGGACAGGGAACATAAAGGAATGTCTCCATATTTCGGGGAAAACTCCTTGGTGCAACGAAGCCGTAAAGATGCGAGCAAGGGCATTAGCTAAAACAGCAACACAGCGGCAAAAAATGATTGCAGGTA